AAGAATGGTATGGTGATCATGATATACTAGATATGATTGTCAGAATTGGAGATCAGGAAACTTAATTTCTAAAGCTAGTTCTCAGAAGTTCAGATGAGTCTCTTCTTCTCTGGGCTTCAGTTTTCTAACTTTAACATGATAAACTGTAGGTATAATTATAATCATATTTGGGCTATGTGTTAGCTTTGAGACCTTTGAGACTTTTAATAATCTCTTTCATTTTTTTTGTTTGCTTCCCAACAAAGAAAGTTACCCAGCAATGGTGAGAAAATCCCCACCTAGATGTTTTTTGAGCCACAGGGTCAATAAAGAACCACAGGCAACTCTAATCCCAAGGCAGCATGCCAATGTCTATGCAGATGTTCCCTTTTAACAAGATTGTCCTTCTCAGAGGTGGCTTTTTCTGCCTGCCTTTGTCTGTGCAAGGGTCATATTTTCCTTTCCTTTTTAAAAATATCATAAACTGGCTATTTTGTATATAAAAATGGAGGAGGAAGGGAGGGAGGGGAAAAAAAACACAAAGTATTAAGAAAGCAGAAGGTTAAAGGCCAATATTGATGGAGAGTTCTACTAGGAAGACTGTTGAGATTGCAAAGAGCACCCCAAGGATAGGATCATTCCTGTGTTCCTGCTAGCATGTGGCTTTCCAATCCAATCCAGCCCAACTCAGAAAGGGAGAGAGAGTGAAAAAAAAAAAAAGAGAATTTTCACACTAATGGAACAACTTGCAAATTCTAGGGAAAACACTGATGCAAATTGTTATATGTGCTGGAAACTAGGCCCATATCACTAGGCATTGAGATGACAGAAAAGTAAGGCAAAAGTAGGAGAGGCTTTGTTTAATACTGCCTGAACTTTTCTACAGACTAGACTTCTAGCCTTGGTATATATTAAATAAGTTATATATAATTCCATCTAGTCCAAAAATTTCTACTAATATCTCTTCTATCTGCTCTCCTTTTTACTTTTCATAATACTCTTGTTCACCTTAGCTATTTAATTTCCTTTTTCACCCTTTGCATTTACTTTCCCTCCTAAGTCTGATCTTTTGCTAGGACTTCTTGTTGTGGTCTCTACTGGGAAAATTGCCCTAACCAAGTGATAAGTGCACATCCCTTATCTCAATGTAATAAGGGGCCTAAAACAGGTATTATCTCCACTTAAAAGATGAGAAAACTGAGGCTCAGGAAATTAGGAAAGTTGCTCAATTTCTGATGACTCCAATACTAGAACCTATTATTAGGTCTGAACCCTCAGTTTTATTTAGCCAAGTATTTCTAAAGCAATTTTATGACTTTCTACTTTCTTTTGTTCTTATACTGTATGACATCCAAAACAAGCACAACTTTGGGAAAGAAAAAAGAAAAGATATCACTATTAGAAGGAACGTATCAAATACCTATTAAGTTTCCATTGCTATTTCATTCAAATACAACTGAAAAATGGTACTTAACCCTAAGTTTATCTGATTCAAAATCTCCATTTCCCTTTTCATGTTGTTGCCAAAGAGACTAATCTCATCTATATGTATGTCAGGGTGCTTAGCATGTGTTACCTAATATAGGAACTGATCAGTGTGCACATTCTATCTTTAAGACAGTATGGCTATCCATAAAATGTTAAATCTTTGTGATTCTGGAAAATTTATTTTTAAACCTATTTCCTTATGTGTAAAAAATAATATCCAAGAATATGTTTTAATCACTTGCTTTTGAACTTGAGTGATTATTTGTGTTCATTGTGTTTATAGATATTAATTCACTTAATCTTCACAAAATCTCTGAGATGAATCTAATAGTATTGATTTCATTTAAAAAATTAAAACACTATGAGTAGATAGATGAAGAGCTCATCAATATATAAACTGGGTAGAACCAGAATTATTTTAGGCAGTCTGTGCTTTGGATGCAAAATGGAGAAAGCAGTCCTTATCTCACAAGAGTTTGACAACTAAATAAAATGACAGTCGTGAAAACATATAGCAAAAATGCATGTGTTAAGCAAATGTCAGGTAAAATTTTTTCCCCCAAGTTCTCTTGTCTAGTGTTTTTGATCGTGTGTTGTTGGACAGTACTAGTCTTATCTGGGAATTTCAAAAATTTTCATGTGATTTTCCAAATGTGGAACTCTTACTTGGGACAGTTCTCTTGTAGGTAAATGAGTTTAAGGCATAGTGGCCTTGCTGGCACCTCTCTAAAAAGGAAGTTTGAATGAGGTTCTAGTTGCATTCAGACTTCCATTGAGACAAGAAATATCTCAGTTAAGGGTTCTAAAGTATGACAAATTGTGTGACCACATGTGAATGTACCTGTGTTTCATAAGTGATTATGACTATTGCAGAATGTAACAACTGCAAGGACTTTCAGAGTTCTTTGTATACATTAATTTCTGTATTTATATATTTTTTATTGTTTTATAGATGGGAAACTAAGGCTTACTAAGGTGAAGTACTTTGCATAAAGTCACTCTCTGAGCCAGTGCAGAACTTAAACTAGAGTCAATTTGTGGGAAAATGTATTTATGTCACTCTATGTCACATTAGCAATACCTGTTTATGGTACACCTATAGTGATCCTATTATAACTTTTGGTATGGTAATAGATACACAAAGACTTCTAAGAAATGAAAATCCATCCTCAAGGAGTGTATAGTGCCATATGGGTAAATAAGACAGAGAGAGCATCAGGAAGCTCACAAGACACAAATATTACAAAATCTGAATTAACATAATTTGTTGCTATGAAGAGTAACAAATTTTTTACAGCTCAGTGGCATGGAGAGTTTAAAGGGGGCCTACTGGGACAGTTTTTAATTTGGCCCTTATGTAGAAATATAGAGCATATAGTTGGGAGCTAGTAAGGATAAACTAGCTGTAGCCAGGAAAAAGAAGGAAACCAGCAGCCTGTTATGTTCTAAAGATCAATGTACTAAGTCTTTTGCATATAAGTTTTCTAATTTTCTCTTCCAAGGCTATTACTATACACATTTTATAGATAAGAAAAGTTCAGAATGTTAACTGTTACCTGAAGCTACATATATGGTCAGTGTGAGGGCCAACTTTGGAAAAAAGAATCCAAGAATAAACCTTATAAAGGGCTTTCTACCAAAGAATGTATATACACTGAGGATTAATATGTGAGCCACTACAATGTGTAGAGGGGCCTGAGCTACTTTTTAGGGTTGTCTATAAGCCTATTTCTTAAACAGGGTCAATATTCATGTCTAGCCAGAGTAAATATATGTAAAACACTGAACACACAGTTTAATATGTAGCACTTTTTTAACAAATGGTAGCTGTCATCATTATCATTGTGAATTATCAATTATGTTTATCTCTGCCTAAATGAACATATGTATCTGTTGCTGGACATGATCACAGCTCTGTATGATTCCATGTTTCAGCAGCATGCCTTTTTCAAAAATAGAACTTTAATTATTAGTATATGCATGTTCTCTGTTAATTCATGTGAGTCTGCCTGTAAGTTTTGTGGAAAGTAGGATAGTATACTTCCTGAAATCACAACCCAATTCTATCAAGTGTGAACTAGGTGACATTGATCAAATTACCTTACTCCTTTGTTCGGCAGTTTTTCCTTCTGGAATATGAGGATAATAATGTCATCTCTTCATAATGTGGTGGAGAGGATTAATTGATTTGATCTATGTAAAGTAGGTAGAATAATGTCTGACATTTCATGCGCACACAATAAATATTGTTGTTAGTATTATTTTATTAACCTGAAACTAAGGCTGTGTGACAGTGTGGCTCTATGTGTGTATCAAGTATGTGTATTTCTGCTTTTATATAAGACTTCACCTATGTGATGCAAGTGAATGTATTTGTTATGTATTTTTGTTCATGGGTGTGACTGTAGCTGTGGCATAGTTTGACTGAATGTTTCACCCAGCTCCAAGAAATCTAGCCTACTGGCTGATATACTGGAATGAAAACCGAGAGGTTTGGTTTTTAATTCAGACAAAGAATTGAACATATGAAATGTATCTGCGCACAGTAGAAAATCTCTTTTGAGAAGTTAGCAATAGTAGTCTCACATATTCTCAGTTGTTATGTACCACTTAAATTTTTTAAATTACAGCAGATATACAGAAAATTGCATAAATCCTAAATCCATAGCTTAGTGTATTTTGATCAAGTGAACACATCTGTGTAACCTGTACGTAGATCAAGAAACAGAACATTACCTAGAAGCCTTCTTTTTCTTCCTTTCTCTAACTTCCCAGCTCACCAATCTTTACCTCAGGGATAATCTCTATCCTGGCTTCTAATAGCATAGATTGATTTTGTCTGATTTTGTACTTGATGTAAATTAAAACATACAGTATATACTTTTACCTGTCTGGTTTCTTTCTGCAGCATTACATTAGTGAGAATCATTCATATTTTAGCATGTAGGTGTAGTTTGTTCATTAGCGTTGATATACATAATTGCATTGTATGAAGAAAGTATAATTTATTCATCCATTCTAATGTTTATTGATATTTTGACTTTACATTCTGGGCCTATAAGTATCTTAAAAAGTGGGCTTTTGGGGTGAATTCTCATTTGGTTTTAACCACAATTCAAAAAAGGTAGAAAATTGCAACAATGAAAACAGCATTTCAGGGAGAAATAGTGACTTGATTCATGTATGGAGTGAGTCATTAGCCCAATTAGGCTTCTGGTGCCGTTTTCTTGACTGTTGGGTCAGAGTACATACTTTCTTCTATCTTCTGAAAAAATTGAATTATGATTTCTCTTCTGAAGGAAGTGCTGCATAATTATTAGCGCAAGTGACTCTTAAACTTTGCCCTCCAAAGTCCAATGTGTAGAGATTATTCAACACTTGCTGACCTGAAAGAAGTCAGGTAAGACAGAGATATGGAGCTAATTTGTTTTTGCTTTCTCAGTCACTTGGTCTGGCTCTTGCTTTTTTAGGTTTCAAAACATTTTCATTTTCCTTCATACCATCAACCATTCACTTGCCTGTTTCCCAAAGTAATGTGGGCCATGGAGCCAGGTCATCTCTTCTGCACTTTGCTGTTCATTCCAATTTTGTGGCCCCAACTGACTGATGGGGCTATTCGAGTCTACTACCTCGGCATCCAGGATGTGCAATGGAATTATGCTCCCAAGGGAAGAAACGTCATCACGAACCAGCCTCTGGACAGTGATATGTAGGTTTAATTTCTTGTGGAAGAGAGCTGTATTAATGGGGAGTTAATACTAGATATCAGGAGGTAACCTCTTGAGGACCTTTTCCCAGGATGTGATAGCAAACATTTCTGATCTCTCTGGGCAATATACGTGGTGGCATGTTTTCTGGAAAAGGCCACTTAACTCAGCAGCCAGAATTCTTATAGGGAGTCAGCTTTTTAACACAGCTGTATATCAGCATTTTTAGGATCCTAAGCCAATTCCATATTTCCTTGATTCTTAGATGATATACACAGTGCTGTCTAACCTTTAAAAGCTGTCTAACATTACAAAAGGAAATATGATGTGTGTGTGTGTGTAAACATTGTTTGTGAGATGTGTGTGATGGAACTGTGTTCTCATCTTCACTGGAACTATACTGGTTTCAGGTATATGAAAACAATATGATAAAACTTAGAATCAAGGAAATAAAATGAATAGCTTTTACTCATGTAATGCTCTGTTTGTGACAGGCACCATACCAGAAATCAACACAGTTTCTCTCACCTAATTATCACAAAAGCTCTGGGAAATAAGTATGCATAGATCAGTAAACTGAGGTTCAGGAAAGTCAAGTTGAGTTGCCCAAGTCCTACAGCTAGTAAATGGAAGATCTAAGATTTGAACTGGGTCTCACGGAAACAAAATTTGTATTCTTTTTACCATTTTGGAATTAACAGATTCCTTTCTTGATCTTAAAGTCTTGCAGGTGCAAGCATGTATTGAGAAAAGAAAAAAAAATGTGTGTGCTAAATAATATTTTGTGATCATTAATCATTTTGTCTATAAACTCATAGATTTACAAAGTTGTCTGTAATATCTGAGAGCTCTCTAGGAAGAGTTAAAGAAAAAAATAGCTGTCAGTTTATGAAAAAAAAATTCTTATTTATCTAGTTTTAGAGATGCAGAATCATATGTTAAAAATACCCTTCAGGGATAACTTTGTTATCCCCCTTCCTATTTATAACAAACATCTATTAATCTCTTGTTGTTTTGCAGGCATTATTCTAAGTTCTTCACACATTTAAATTCTTTTAGTCACGAGCAACAAATGTCCAAGTTTTGTATTGTGAACAACTCTGCTTTATAGATAGGGAAATTGCTCACAGAAAAGTGAAATAACTTGCTCAAATTTACACAAATTTTAGAAGTGACAATATTGGCATGAAATCCGCCATTCCAAATTCCAAAGCTTTTGATAGTAGCCTTTTTATGTAAGTTAAAAATGTAGATTAGTCAAATAAGCTAGGAAGAAAAAGAAAAAGAAATGGATGGTTTCACTCATTGCAGGAGAGTGAGGGATCAAGAAAAACAGAGAGAGAAAAACAAATGTAATAAAGTAAAAAACAAAAACAATAAAACATTGAACAGCTATTAACCAGAGACATTTTTTAAAATAATATAATAGTTTATTTTCACATCATTTTATGCCCTTTTCCATCTCAGTTAATAGTCCCCGTGGGATTCCCACCACCAAATCACCCCTGTGCCATCACCATAGTCCAGTGCACTTCCCTCCCCCCACCATTTTTGACCCCATTCCCCACTGTTTTTTATTCCATTCCTCATTCCACCCCCAAAAAATGTTAAACCAGAGACATTTTATGAGGGTGGAAAGGGGAATGGGATCAGCACTGGAGTGGGAAAAGTGCACAGGACTATGATGTTGGCACACAGGTGAATTGGTGGTGGGAAGCCCATGGGGATTACAGTTCAGATGAAAAAATGCACAAAATGAAGAATAGTATAAAAAGAAAATAAAGTAGATATTAAAGATGGTCAAATATCAGAAATTCCATGATTTAATGTAATGCTTCTCATTGTCTTACCTAAAACTTTCATGCTTAATCAGTATATTGTCATTTCTTCTTGAATTTCCCTGAATAAATATGAATACTTTCCTTTGAGAAATAATTCTCTCGAGGTTTTAAGATTGTGGGAATATTTGTGACACTCTTTTTTCCTTCTCAGAGTAGCTTCCAGCTTCCTAAAGTCTGACAAGAACCGGATAGGGAGCAGCTACAAGAAGACCATCTACAAGGAATATAGAGATGGTTCATACATGCAAGAAATAGCCAAGCCTGCTTGGCTGGGATTCCTGGGGCCAGTGTTATGGGCTGAGGTGGGTGATGTCATCAGTATCCACCTGAAGAATTTTGCCACTCGTCCCTACACCATCCACCCCCATGGTGTTTTCTATGAAAAGGACTCAGAAGGTAAATTAGTCAAAATATGTTTCCTCCTGCCTGCAACATATATCACTTTTACTTTGCAATCTGAGAGAAAGGAGAGATGTACGTGAGGGTAGTATTTCTTCTTTATTGTTCTGATGTGGCAGAGATAAAGAGATAAAGCACTTCTGTTATCATTTATGTTTTTCATACTCCGTGTGAGTTTTGGAAAGTCATTGCCCCAATCTGGATCTCATATTCTTTATTAAAAATGTGAAAAGTTTTCCCATTATCTTTAATGACATTCCCATAAAATATGTGACTGTGATTTGAAACAGAAGAGTGTGTTGTGATTATAAGACTAGTGTCACAGTCTTCCAAAAGAGGAAATTAATTTTATGTATCTGTATTTCTAATATTTTGGGCTCAATTGTCTAAAACATTGCTATATAAAGCCGTGAGTAAGAAGGATAGAGAAGGAAGTGAGAAGGTACTGAATTGATCACACACTTCCTCTATGATCTTGGGCAAATTATTTTCTTTCATTTTTTTTTCCATAAAATGGGGGTTGGGGGTAGACCAACTGGTCATTAAGTTGTTGTTAGACTGAAATACTGTAACTGCTTTCTATATTTCAGAGTGCTTAACATTAAGTTTGCCCTTGCCTGTATGCCACCACATTTTCACTAACACTCTGTAGCGCGTTACATGACCACATTCTTTTCCAAATTGTCTGCTGCCTCTTCATATTGTTGATATGAAATTTGTGATTTTTGTATATAGATATTACCAGAAACTGTGCCTCTTCTAGCTGTTAGGAATGTTGTGTTACACCTTAGACCTCTATGTTCCAGGCTCCCTCTTACACATCCTGGGATTGGTATATGCAATTTCCTTTTCTAGGCTCTCTATACCCAGATGGTACCTCTGGTCATATGAAAGCTGATGACTCTGTTCAGCCTGGCGACAGTTACATCTATAACTGGACCATTCCAGAAAGCCATGCACCCACTGATGCTGACCCAGCATGCCTCACTTGGATTTATCATTCTCATGTAGATGCTCCACGTGACATTGCAACTGGCCTCATTGGGCCTCTTGTCACCTGTAAAAGAGGTATTTCCCATAAGGGTGAGCTAAGCATGCAGTTTGGGATGTTTCTAGGAAACAGCAATATAGTGAAATACCTACATAATGAGCAGCAGCCCTATGATTTAAACACTTATTTCTTTGCAAGGATAAACTTTATCAAACTCCTTTTCTATTATTTATGTTTTTATATTTCATTACCTCACCCCTTTTTAATAATTTTTAAAGAATGCTTACTTATGCATACAGAATACTTACTTACTTATGTATACAGAACTGGGGTATAGGCCAGAGGTGCAGGGGAAGTGTGTGTGTGAGAGAATTCACCAGAGACACAGTGGGGGAGCAGAACAGGCAAATGAAGGAAGTACACTGCTGAGGGGGACAGTGGGCAAGACCGGAGTGGTCTGCTGCACCATTGTGGGTCACCTCCTGGGCCAAGATGGAACTCACATTGAAGAGGCTGCAGATAGCTTGCAGTGCTCTGTCCTAAACCATTGTGCCACCAGGGAGGGCCTCATTAGCCCTTTAAAAAAAATTGGCTCAGTACTCTCCCTGGTGGTTCATTGGGTTAAAGCACCGCATTATGAAGCACTCCAAAGCCATTGCAGCATGAGTTCGACCCCCACCAGGGAGTTGACCCACATGGCATGGCAGACATCTTCTGACCCACCCACTACTCCCTTCAGCAGTGTATTTCAGTAGATCTGCCTGTTCCTGTTCCCATTCTGTCCCTGGTGAATCTTCTCACCCACCACACCTCTAGCCTATACCCCAGTTCTGTAAACATAAATAAATAAATCTTAAAAAAAAAATTGGCACACTCCCTGGTGGTGCAGCAGGATAAAGCACAGCACTAAGATGCTAAAGTCACTTCAGCATGAGTTTGATCCCCTCTGTCCTGGAGGTGATCCACATGGCGCAGCAGGCCTCTCCTGCCACCCATTGTTCCCCTCAGCTGTGTACTTAGTCAATTTGCCTGTATTGCTCCCTACTCTGTTTCTAGTGAATCCTCTCACCTCTGGCCTGTACCCCAGTTCTGTATGCACAAATAAATAAATCTTTTTTAAAAAAATTGGCCCAACAAAGCAAAACAAATTTCTTACTTTTTTGTCTTTTATTATTTCGCTTTTAAAACTTGATAATTATGGGAATCATAGCATACAGAATTAAGGTGTGTGGTAATAGCTTAAGTGTGGATAGGACGGAAAGTATAGTTATCAATGTTTGTGTAGAGTTCTAGATTTTGTTGAGCAAAGGGTATGTTTAATATGCAGTCAGGACTGAAAACCTGAGTGTTGTAGGAATGTCATCAAGTTGAGGCCCTGGTTGAATAGATAGGCATGGATGTTGGGAGGGAATTATTCCAGATCCTGTATGTTCCACCATCAAGTGTATTTTTTAAATATTTTTTATTTATGCATAAAGAACTGGGGTACAGGCCAGAGGTGCAGATACAGTGAGAGGATTCACTAGAGACAGAACAGGCAGATCAGTGAAGTACACTGCTGAGGGTAGCAGCAGGCAAGACAGAAGAGATCTGCTGTGCCATGTGGGTCACCTCCATGGCCGGGGATTGAGCTCACACTGAAGCAGCCACAGCTAGCTTGCAGTGCTGCTTCCTAATCCATTTTTCCAGTAGGGAGGACCTCCATCATCAAGTGTTAAGCTCAAAGGAACAGGTGGTTTTGTCTGAGGAGATTGTAAATTTACATTAGCAGCAGAAGGTTCTATCTTATTTGCTGTTGTGGATAGACTTTTAAAGCTACCTTTCTTTATCCCTTTCTTATGCATACCCCTTGCAGTTTATTGTTGATAAGGAAAGGAGATTCTCAAAGGCACTTTTCTTGCTTTCCTCAGGAACCCTGGATAAGAACAACCCTCCTCAGCGGCAGGATGTGAACAGTGATTTCTTCCTTCTTTTCAGTGTGGTTGATGAAAACCTTAGCTGGCATATTGATGAGAACATTGCTACTTACTGTTCAGATCCTTTTACAGTAGACAAAGAAGATAAGGCCTTTCAGCAGAGTAATAAGATGCATGGTGAGCTGAAAGAAGATGGTCACACTCTGACAGTGTATACTAAGAGAGGGTCTTACTAGGACTATTGGGTGCTTTAACTTGCTAGATATTTTTTCAATCTTCACAAGGACCAAGAGTGGTACATTACTTTTCTGTTTTACTTATAAGAAAACAGACTCCAGGATTATGCAACATATGAATGACACCACTAAAATTCCAGCCCTAATCTGTTCAACTGCATAGGTTGCACTCTTGCTAATAGGCTACCCTGCAACCTTATGTGGAATAATCAAGGCAGTTGACTCCAAAGTCATATATTATCTGCTTAATCGCTTGTCCACTAATGTAATTCATTAACTATCTTTTGATTCTAAAAAGATGCAAGCTGGGAATTTACCATCTTAATTAAGTTGAAATTAAACTACAGTCACAAAAACTCTGAGGCAAGTTCAAAGAATTGATTTTGAGAATAGAATCAAGTTGATTTTTCTTTTGTTTAATTAATAGAAATATTTAGTTTCATGAGGTGACATAGGTGAGCTTAAGATTAAACAGTACTGAGTGGAGGTAAAACTCAGAGGAATGCTATAAGAGATTGGTTTGATTGTTCAAGTTTCTCTTGGTTTCTATACCAATTGCAACTATGCTAATTAAAATTTTGGAAGAAAATAATAGATTGCAAAATAAGCTTCATATCTTACATAATTTTCTCAGATTGCTGGGTTGGAATATCGGTTTGCCATTTAATAGTTTCATAGCTTTTGGAAAGAAGTAGTTTGCCTCCCTGAGCTTGATTTTCTCACTCTCTCTCTTTTTCATAAGATAACTGCTAGGCTATTTGTGAGATTTAAATGAGTTAATGTTTATGGTCATTCATCATAGTGTGCTTAAAAAAACTCATCTTAATGTTATATATTATTATTGCCTTCTCCCATTAATGTATGGTTTCCTAATGCTGATATTTTCTTGGATTTTCTTTTGCAGCAATCAATGGTTTTGTCTTTGGGAACTTACCAGAATTGAGCATGTGTGAGCAGAATCGTGTGGCCTGGCATTTATTTGGCATGGGCAATGAAGTAGATGTCCACACAGCTTTCTTCCATGGACAGATGCTGAATATACGGGGTCACCACACTGATGTGGTTAACCTCTTTCCAGCTACCTTTGTGACTGCTGAGATGGTTCCCCAAGAGCCTGGTACCTGGTTAATTAGCTGTCAAGTGAATAGTCATTTGCAAGGTGAGAGCCAATATAGCTGAACCTTGAGATATAGAAGAAAGGTAGCAATAATCATCATCAGAATCTTTATTTATGCCTGAAGCCTTAAGAGAGGTTTTTTAGGCAAAACAACTAGGTTTAAAAGATAGAACACAATACTAGTATTCTGGGGACATGTATTCTCTCTTGGCTCAGGCAGTGAGGTGTTCTTTTTTTAAGATTTATTTTTATTTATTTATGCATATAAGCACTGGGGTATAGGCCAGAGATGTGTGTGGGGTAACAGGTCTGACAGAGACAGAGGTAGAAGCAGAGCAAGCGGAAATACACTGCTGAGGGGAGCAGCAGATGGATTAGGAGAGGTCTGCCACTCCTGTGGGTCATCTCCCTGGCTGGGGAACTAACTCATGCTGCAGTGGCTGTGGAGAGCCTCACAGCACTGCACTTTAACCTGTTTGCATCGCCAGGGAGAGCCTAACAGGGGGTAAAGTGCTAAAGGGTTATCTTGGGAACACATCTCTGGACTGACTTACCACATTTCTAGCAAAAAAATGGTTTAGGGATAGATAAATGGACTTTTAAACTGCTTTTTAAAATTAGAAGTCTAAAGAATTAAGACTTGGCATTATTTGTGATTTATTGGACAGGGAATGAAGAAGGTTATTTAAAGAGAAATAAGATTTCTGCAGGAGTTCATGGAATATTGTGGGCAAACAGCAACAGTCTAGTTGAAACCCAAAAGTAATAGAGGTAGAAGTTTGGTACAGCGCACTGAAGAGTATCAAAGGAGAGGAAGAATTTATGAGACAATGGAAAGAGTACTAAGAAAATAATTAGAAGTTTAATAATATTGTCTTAATTCTCTGAAAAACTGACTGCATGACTTTGGAAAAGTCAGTTCCTACTTTAAGGCCTCCTTTTCCACATCTGTAAAATATGGGATGTGTTCTAAAGCTTCTCCAGGGTCTTTTTGTGTTCTCACTTTCTGGAATTATTTGATATATGGTATATTAGATGGGTGTCAGAAAAGTGATATGCAAATATGAGTAAGTAGATTTGAGTAGATGAAGAGTTATAGATTGGTGGGATAATAAATCACTTGTCATAGATATGACCAGTATGGGCAGTTACATTTGATCTATCATCCAGGGTCTGCCACTGGTCCCAAAGATGCCTCAGTAAGAGAATGTGAATGTGGATGGAGGTTAGGGATTCAGAATGATAGTTAAGAAGGACAAGTCTAGATTTGAATCCTGTTTCCACCAGTTGTTTACCTTTGGTAAGTCATGGTGCTTCTCTAAGCCTCTGTTTCTTCATCTAGGGATTGCAATATTTATTGCTACTTTGTAAAGTTATAACGAATTTTCTGAGAAATATTATTATTATTTTTTTTTAAAGATTTATTTATTTATTCATACAGAACTGGGTACAGGCCAGAGGCTCAGGGGCGGTGAGAGGCTTCACCAGAGACTGAGTGGGGAGCAGAACAGGCAGATCAACGAAGTACACTGCTGAGGGAAGCAGCGGGCGGGTCAGGAGAGGTCTGGCTCGCCATGTGGTCTCCTCCAGGGCAGGCGGCAGGCGGGAATCGAACTCATGCGGAAGCGGCTTTAGATTCTCAGTGCTGTGCCTTAACCCACTGCGCCACCAGGGAGGGCCGAAATATTATTATTTTAAATCACAGAGACTAAAGGAATGATGAGACCAAAACAGTGGATGCAGAAAAAGTAAATAAGCATCTAATTTTCCATTAAAATCTAGAAACTTAAGTTGTAACTTCACCACTGATCAGCTGAGTAATGTTTGTCAAGTTATTTTACCTCTCTGATCCTCAATTTTTCTTCATCTACAAAAAGAGATATTATGATGAGAGCTGATAGAAATAACATGTAAATCACTTGACACAGAATCTGGTATATCATACATAATTAGCAAAAGTGAACAGCTTTACTCCTCTTTCTCTATACCTCTTATTCCTAATTTATAAATTTCTGATCCCCTTGGGGTGTTATGAGAAACAAATGATATAATGCACCTGAATGACCTTTATAAGTTGTCAGTCCACTATAAAGCAGTGTCATATATTACCATTAATCCTAATATAATATCCTCTATATTTGGAGACAGTGCTTAAAATGTACATTTTCCTGTAGTCCAAATCTGAAGCTACACATCCATGTGTAGAAGATATTCCATTGTTTTTGGAGAGCTTTCCCACTTAACAAATAACATACTTTTTTGTTTTAAACTTGTACTCCCAACAATTATGACCCCCAATTTATAAAACAGTGATTGAAGCTTAGATAAAGAAGTGATTTCCCTAAAGTCATTCAGATAGTGATAACGTGTGGATTTGATTTCAGGTATGCAACCTGACTTTAAACTCTGATATTGCTATAATGTAAGCTTTTTGAAGGGACAGCAATCAATGAGTATATGGTAATTGACCTTGGTAGTGAGCAGGTCAAGTACTGGTCTCCCTTTATCTCATCCAGGCTCTTGAAAAGTAAGACAACATGACCCATTTAGAGTTTAGGAGTAGATTCTACTGGAGAGTAAGAGAGGAAACATTAGAAGGATAAGGGTGGGTTGTCTGCATAGAAAGCCTTTCTAGTTGAATGGGCATATCAGTCACGATGTTCTTCTTCCAGATGGCATGCAAGCACTTTACAAGGTTAAATCTTGTTCCATGGTGCCACCTGTGAGTAGGCTCACAGGCAAAGTCCGGAAGTACTTCATTGGAGCCCGTGAGATTCAATGGAACTATGGTCCGATGGGACATGATGGAAGTTCTAGGAAGAATTTGAGGGAGCCAGGGAGGTAAGAGGCAGTGGGGTCCCTCTCCCCACATCTCACCAATCTCCAAAAACCTTTTGTTCCATCTTAGGATCTCTCACTTCATTTGGGTGTCAAAATCATTGTCAAGCTGGAGTGCAATTATACAACTGTTAGACAAATTATTGTGGCCCCCTGGAGAGATTGCTTGTAGGAATCTACAAAGCTTTATATAAGATGATTATGTCATCTCCAGCAAGGTAGCCAAGAAGAGTTTGAAATGTTTTCCTAATAAAATTCCAGGTCAATTCAGAAAAAGAATATTCAGGTTAGACCAAATTAGTTGAAATGACTTTTAAATCCTTCATTTTACTTATTTGCCTTCTTGATCCATCATTTTTCTTCCCGTACTCTGAAAGGGATATTTAAGCAGGGTTTTTATTTTTTTAATGTATTCTGGGAAATGGGAATATGGGAATAGAACTGACCTGTGGTCATTTGAGAAGAATTTTTCAGATTTCTCCTGCATTATCCATGACTCAGATGTGGGCAAGATGGAGCAGAGGGTTAGAACCCTATTAAATTGCTAGACTTTGATTTAGACCAACTCACTGGTCTATCCTTGTTTCTAGAACATTCACTGAAAAGGTTTTTGGTAGATGACTAGGAGACTCTATGAGGGAATATCCTAGAACTCCCATCATGGTTATTAATAATGGAATGAATCTACTCTCATAGGAAAGTAGTCACTTGGTCTCACTCAGCATGACTTTTAGGATCTCTAACTGAACTTTCTAATTTTGTGGGATTCATTTTGAAATAAAGGCTATTCTTGATTAAGGGGAGAATGGATCGTGGGAACCTGAGTATGACTGAAGACAGATTAAGACTGTATAACTTTGAAGGCAGAAATGTTCCCTAGAATTTATAACCAAGACAATTCCAGACTATTACAAAGAAAAAGATAAATTATTAAAAATATCCAAAAGTAACAGAAATTGTTTTCTCAGGAAATTAGTTCCCTGACCTTGGAAAGGCTCAAGCACTTATCTTTGGTGTCACCAGAGGAAAATTTACTGGGTGGAGAATAAGCTGATTGAACTTTGAGGTTTTTCCTAACCACAGAGAAATCTATTAAGTTGATGAAACCAAGGGAGATAGAGACATTATTTGATACATTATTAAATCATGCTTATACATTTGTATCCTTATATGCTAGTGTCTCAGAGAAGTTCTTTCAAAGGAGCTCCAGCCGAATTGGAGGAACTTACTGGAAAGTCCGATATGAATCCTTCCAAGATGAGACATTTCAGGAAAGGGTGCAGCTTGAAGAAGATGAGCATCTTGGAATTTTGGGTGAGTAATTCTTCACTTTTTAACTCCATTAACTAGAGCCAGCAAACTGGGAGAACTTAGAAACTAGAACATAGTGGTGGCACAGAGACACATTCTAGACACACATCTCCTGAAGTGAGTCCCAAGAGATGAGTGAAAAAGGATTTCACTCAATCCTTTGTGAAAGGGATTATGGGTATGAATGATTTTGCAAAACTAAGCTAAATATATTAAAATAATTTACTGTAGGACTTCTGAGAGCCTTGTATTAATTTTCATTCATCATGAATCTCCAAGATGGGAATAGAGGATATAGCATTTTTCATATTTACAACTGAACCCCTTTTCAGTAAACATCTGGTGTCATTCTTGCACTGATCAAACTTTGAGAATGATTTCTCTAGGTATATTTCTGAATCACTATCTAAGGCAGTAAGACTATCTCAATTTTTTGAAAAATTGGACCAGTAGCAGATATTGGCATGGCATGCAGACATAATAGCTATAGTGAGGAATCCAGAACAAAGCTTTAGAGACTGACCTGGGAAAAGGTATACAGAAGATCTAAAGCACAATAGAAATAGAATAGCAAGGTTATGTAAGGTTTAGTGACATCTTGAAAATAGAAACAAAATTGAACAGATAGAACAAAATTTTTGAAATGAAAGCAATGCAATAGAAATATTCTATGGATAGATATGTGCCAGTTGCTTATAAGAGTTAATTACATGGATAGTAGGTCTTACATCAGCTGGATAGGGAGATGTAATGAATACCTAAAGAAATAGAGTAGACATTATTAAAGTGCTATCATTAGCTGGTATTTTTATTCTAGTCTTTTTATTACTGAATTTTAAATAATGTGGTAAAAACACACATAATATTTATCATCTTAACCACTTTATGTGTACATTTCAGTAATATTAAATCATTATTAAATACATATATCCTTTTATATTGTAAAACTGGAACTCTATACCCATTAATAACACCTATTTTCCACTCTTCCAGCTCCTGGCAAATACTGTGCTATTTTCTGTACTATTTTTCACTAATCCAGGTATCTCAAATCATACAACATTTGTCTTCTTGTAAATGACTTATTTCACTTAGCATTATATCTTAAATGTTTATCTATGTTGTCACTTGTTGAAAAACTTGCTTTTAAAGGCTTAACTATGTGCCTTTTATTTATCAATCCTTTGATGAACGTGTGTTGTTTTCATATTTTAGCTGTTCTGAATAATGCTTCTATTAATATAGGTGTATAAATATATCTTCAAGACTGGGCTTTCAGTTCTTTTTGGTATATAACCCAAAGTCAAATTCCTGGAATCTATGGTAATTAAATATTTAGAATTTTAAGAAACCATAATTTCTGTAGCATTTTGTGTTCCTATCAAGGGTACACACACCCTTTATTGAGAGTAGCAATCCTAAAGAGTGTAATGTGATGCACTCTTAAAATAGGAAGCGATAGCCCTAAATGAAGATATGTACCACATGGACCTAATAGTTATCTATTGGGCACTGCTTCCCCCAAAAATGGAATACACATTTTTCTCAAGTGAACATGGATCATTCTCCAGGATCAACCACATATTTGGTTACAAGAAGACAGTAAAAAGTAGATGAAGATTGAAATCATACTAAGTATTGAAATTTTAACAATATTAATTCTTCCCATCCATGACCATTGGATATTATTTATTTATGTCTTCAGCATTATTTTACATTTTTCATTATGCAAGCAAGTCTTTCATACCCTGGGTTAATATCATTCTTAAGTATTGTATTAATTTTTAAATTTTTAATTATTTATCTGTATATCTATTTACATTGTTGTACATTTTAAAACAATGTTTGCTTTCCCCTTCCACAATTCACCCACCCAGCAACAACACAGTCCCCTGTGCTCCTCACTCCCTCCTTCCTATCCTTCTCGCTCCCCTTTCCTACAGGATATTTTTGGTTTATAATCGTCTGCTCGTTTGTTTGTTTTGTATTGTTATTATCCCCCCCCTTATATTCCTCCCATAAGCAAAACTACTGAATATTTTTCTTTTTGACTTATTTCACTGAGCATGATCCTTTCTACCTCCACCCATGTTGCTGTAAATGGCATGAGTTTATTTTTTATGATTGCTGAATGCTTTATTACTTTTGATGTTATTTTTAATAAAATTGTTAGAGTATAGAATCCGTTATTCTATTAAAGAAATACAGTGATGATTCTCATGTGCTGACTTTATATCCTACTACTTTGCTGAACTAATTTATTACTTCTAACAGGTTTTTTTTTAATAAAGACATTTTTGGATCTCAAGTAAGATCATCTCATCTGCAAACAGTTAATTTCACTTCTCTTTAAATTTGGATTAATTTTATATATTTGTCTAAATTATCCAGTAATATGTTACTAGAAATGTTGGATTCCAACATCTTTTCCTTATTCCTAATTTCAGAGAAAAAAGTTTTCAGTCTTTAAATGGATATGATATTCACTATGGGTTTTTCAAATATTGCTTTTATTATGTTGAAATAATATCCTTTCATATATGTAGGTTTAAAAGTATTTCTCTTATGAAACGATGTTGAATATTGTCAGATGATTTTTCTGCGTGCATCGCATGAGCAGGTTATGTGCTGTTTCCCCCTTCATTCTTTTAATGTGGTGTATTGCTTTGATCAGTTTTCATATGCTGAACTATCCTTGCATTTCAGGAATAAATTCTACTTGGTTCTGTTGTGTAATTGCTTTAATATGCAGCTGAATTCAGTTTGCAACTATTTTGTTAAGAATTTTTATAGCACAATTCCTAAAGGGGTATTTGCCAATAGTATTCTTTTCTTGTAATGTTTTTGTGTGACTTCTGTATCAGTGTAATGCCTATTCAATAAAAAAGTGAAATGGTATGAGAAAAAAAATGTCTTATCTATTTAAATATTTAGTAAAATTCACCATGGCACACATCAGATACATTGCTTATCTTTGTTGGGAGATTTTTTATTATTAATTAAATTTCCTTACTAGTTACTGTTCTTCACCTTTTTTTTTTAAGATTTATCTTTTATGAATACAGAGTTGGGGTGCAAGCCAGAGGTGCAGGGACAGTGAGAGGATTCACCAGGGACAGAGTGGGGAGCAGAGCAGGCAGAACGATGAAGTACAGTGCTGAAGGGAGCAGTTGGCGAGACAGGAGAGGCCTGCCACGCCATGTGGGTCACCTCCTGGGCTGGAGATCAAACTTGCACTGAGGTGGCTGAGGCTAGTTTACAGTGCTCTGTCCCAACCTGTTGTGCTATCAGGGAGGGCCCTATTCTGTTTCTTTATGATTTAGTCTTGATAGGTTGCCTGCTATAGGAATTTATCAGTTTCATCAGGTTTATTCACTTTTGAGCACAAAATCAGCCATAGTGCTCTTTTAATCTGCTAATTTTGTTAAATTGGTGGTGGTGTCCCCAGTTTCATTTCTATTTTGAAAATTTTTATATTATTTTCTTCTTAGTTCATCCAGATAAAATTTTCTCAATTTTTTGATGTTGTTTGAAGAACCAACTTTTTCTTTATTGTTTTTCTAATTATATTTCATTTATCACGATTACCACTATTGTTGCTATTATGCTTCCTCCATTCTGCAAGCTTTGGATTTATTTTATTTTATTTTATTTTTTAATTTTCTTAAGTTGTAAAGTTTTTTTTTAATTTGGCATATTTTTGTTTTTTAATGTAAGTGTTTGTAACTTTAAAATATACACTTAGCACCACTGTCAATGAATCTGATATGTTTTGGTATATTGTGTTTCCATTTTCATTTGCTCTTTGTATTTTCTAATTTCCCTTGTGATTTCTTCTTTGGTCCATTGGTTGGTTAAAAATGTGTTGTTTAATTTCCACAATTTTGTGACTTTTCTGTTTCCTTCATTTATGGATTTCTAACTCTTAATCCCAATTTGATTCGAGAAAAAAACATTTTTTAAAAATTATTGACAATTGAGGGTCTAAAATCTATCTGGGAAAGTATTCCATATGAATTTCAGAATATGAATTCTGTTGTGGCTTATAGTTTGTTGCTTTTTTTTAAGATTTATTTATCTGTGCATACAGAACTGGGGTACAGGCCAGAGGTGCAGGGGTGGTGAGAGAATTCACCAGGGACAGAGTGGGGAGCAGAACAGGTGGACTGATGAAGTTCACTGCTGAGGGGATCAGTAGGTGAGCCAGGACATGTTTGCCATGTGGATCACCTCCAGTTCAGGCAGGGATCAAACTCATGCAGAAATGACTTTAACTTCTTAGAGCTGTGCTTTAACCTGCTGTGACACCAGGGAGGGCCATGGCTTATAGTTTTATATGTATGATAGATATAGTGGGTATATTGTATTGTATAAATCTTCTATTTCTTTATTTACTTTTTTTTCTGGTTGTTATATTCTACTCTGATCTGAATAATGGTCTCCTTAGTCTTTGAGCAGATGTGGGCCTTTAGGTATACAAATTGAGTTGAAACAAGTCAGAAACTCAGAAATATGGTTGGAGATAGAGTAGCGCTCAGGTTCTTACCTTGGTACTTCTGACTTGTCTTTACAGTCACCTAATCTATGTTGAATGTGGTGGGAAGGGAATAAATGAAAATTCCAGATGTCGTGTCTAGATATATGGTATAATATATGATTCGAGGTCCAGATATATGGTATAATAATTGTTCCTTCTCCAAATTGGTTTGTGATTTAGGCAAGGTCAGATTTTTTGATGGATTCTACCCTGAAATAGGAGCTCAAGCAATAAAAGTAGTGGAAATAAGTGTAGGTTAGAAGAAATTCCTGACTTCAAGTCTGAGTTGTCATTTGTATTTGGGCAACTCATTTGTATCTCTCTGAATTGTAATTTTCTCAACATTAAAATGATGATTTCCCCTGTTCTTTTTACTTTGGAATCATGTTTGAAGATCCAAATGAGATGATGGATTTTAACGTGTTTTTATTACTGTAAATTGAAAATTACACTTAGAAAATATTGTTCTCATTATTGTGCAAATTTAAGAGTTCTCTATCTTTTCTACTTCTCTGCTTTTTCTCTTTTTCCCTCATGTCCACTCTCCTTGTCGTCCCTATTTTAATTCCCATTTTTTCTTCTTCCTATTTCCAGGGCCAGTGATCCGGGCTGAGGTGGGTGACACAATCTCTGTGATCTTCTACAACCGTGCCTCTCAGCCATTCAGCATACAGCCTCATGGAGTCTTTTACAAGAAAGACTATGAGGGAACTGTGTACAATGATGGTGAGTAAGACAGGGTTTACAATTAATGTGGGTTTTATATAATAACAGGTAGTTTTAGGTGACAAATAAATAAGGGAGGGAAGGTGAGAGGAGCTAGAATTATTTGTCATGTGTGTATGTTATTTAATGAATTCATGTTATAATGAGGTGGAACTGAGCTCAATAAGAACAATCTTTCAAATTTATTTAAATAAATTCAGATTATAAAAATAACATACATGATAGAACGTTTCTAAAAATGAAAATCTGGACCATCCCTGGTGGTGTAATGGGTTAAAGAACAACACTATGAAGCTACTGCAGCCACTGCAACACAAGTTTGTTCTTTGTCTTGGGAGGTGATCCACATGACATGGAATATGGCTTCTGACCCACCCGCTGCTTCCATCAGCAATGTATAAGTCAGTCCTCCTGTCCTGCTCCTCACTCTGTCTCTGGTGAATCCTCTCACCTCCCACACCTCTGGCCTGTACCCCAGTTCCATATGCATAAATAAATAAATTTTAAAAATGGAAACTATAAAATGAACATTCTAAATATGTTTCTATTATATTTTAATACATTTAAATGTTTTGTGTTTATCAAATATGTATAGATAGATAGATAGATAGATAAATAGATAGATAGATAGATAGATAGATAGATAGATAGATAGATAGATAGATAGATAGATAGATAGATGTTTAATCATAGGGTTTTCATAGTTTTGTATTTACTTACTGTTACATTGTTTCCATTTTCTCATACACTTATAATATATTTTAATGACTAGATAATACTACATCACATGGCCTTGCCATAATTTATTTACCTTACCTATTATTGTTGGACATATTGTTTTTTCATTTTTTTTTATTATTGTAAATCATGTGAATATATCTGGTTAGGATTGCTTCACAGAAGATAATCCTAAAAATAGGATTATTGTATAATTAACTTCTTTGGTTTTTTTTCTGAGCATATTAAATCATACTAATCCCATGCTAAAAAATATAAAAAATATTGAAAGTGTAAAGGGCATATTTGCTAATAAATCTGGAGTAAAATATCATTCTGCAAGGAAACTGGTACTGTAGTCTTTTCAAGAAATCAATGTCATGGGCCAAAATAAAGAGAACTTGCAAGTTTTGTTTTATATTGTATTCTTAAAAATAGCTTTAAAGAAATTTTAGAGATATTTGCATTTTTGGTTGAATTTTTTCTTTCAAGTTTATGTTGCAAATCTTACTATTTTGTGGGCATGTATCTTTTTAAGTCTCTTGATACATTCTGTCAGCATCTTTTTAAAATGAAATTGTCCTCATTCACACTGCTCTTTTTTAGATGAGTAAAACAAGTAGATGTGATCTGAACTCTCACCAGCACTGTGTGTTATAATTTGTAAAATCCTGAAACGCTGATGGCAAAAGTATTACGTAGCTATTTTCATTTGTGCTTACTAATTTTTTTAAAGTTGATTTATATTTTTGGATAAAAATAATAGTCTTAATAATATATTAAATAATAGCATATATTTAAATATTTTAATAATATATTTTGTTTACCTCAGCATATCTAAAATATCTGCATTTCAACCAATAATCTATATAAATGTTATTGAAATGTTTTATATTTTCAGTCATTTTTTTCTTTCATTACTTTTTAAATATGTGTAGACAAGTAGTTACTACCATTTATAGTTGCCCCCTCCTTATATGAAATTTTACATATTAAGATTTTTTTTGTGCCCAAGCTTTTAAAATTAGTATGTGTGGATAGCTCCATTGCAATAGCAGTGCTTTTGTGCTTTTTAATAGTTGCATAATAGTCCATTATGCCGATTTTTTTTTAATTTTTAATTTATGAATTGTTATTGAAGTACCATAGTTCCACATCCTTTCCAGTGTTTATGAAGTATAGGCTTTCTCCTCTCAGGTGTAGTTACCAGAGCTCTCCCAACACCAAAGCATGCACAGACATCCACCAAATTCCATTCTGTTTTCCCCTTTCCCAATTACTCATTCCTCCATCTCTTGTATCCCTTCTAAAATTGCATACCATGGTCAGTTTCAAAGGTTAGTTTTAGTTTGTTTTTTTGTCTGACCCTTTGTTTTTTCTACATCTCACCTGTAAGTGACACCACCAGTATTTATCTTTCTCTTTCTGGTTTATTTCTTTCATCATAATCTCTTCCAGCTCCATCCTTGTTCCTGCAAATGGCATGAATTTATCTTTTTTGATTACTGAATAGTAGTCCATTATTTACATATATCACATCTTGATTCACGCATATGTTTTTGTGCACTTAGGTTGATTCCATATCTTGGCTAGTTAAAATAGTGCTGTAGTAAACACAGAAGTACAGGTTCATTTTCAATTAGCATTTTCACATTTTGTGTGTATGTTTATAGATACCTAAAAATACAACTTCTGGGTCAAATGGCAGATCTATTTTCAGTTTTTTAAGAAACTTCCATAAGGGCTGGACCAGTTTACATTCTCAAGAGCAGTGAACTTCTTCTTTTTATTTTTTCATGTGCCTATTGGCCATCTTTATGTCTTCTTTGGAGAAGTATCTATTTAACTCCTCTGCACAATTTTTTCAGTTGGGTTATTTGTTTTTTTTTCTTTTAAGTTGTATGAATTCCTTATAGATGAGTTATTGTCAGACATATGATGTGCATATATTTACTCTCATTAATTAAAGTATCTCTTGGTTTTAGTTTATTTTGCTGTGCAAATTTTTATAATTTGATGCTCTTTTTATTTTATTTTTTCCTGGGGAAAAATTCAAAAATATCTCAGAAGCTTATTTCATGAGGTCTTTCACTTGTGTTTTCTTTTACATATTTTATGGTGTTAGGTTTTATATCCAAGTCTTTTTACCCATTTTGGGATATTTTTTGTGTCTGTTGTAAGATAGTAGTCTAATTTCCTCCTTCTGCATGCAGCAGTTTAATTTTCCCTACACCATAGATTGAAGAAGTTTTCCTTGTTCCAGTATATTTCTTCACTCTTTTCTTGTCCTTATATGTGTGAGCTTATTTCTGTGTTCTTGGTGCTATTTCATTGGTCTATGTCTTTGATTTTGTTCCAGTACCATTTGGTTTTAATGATTATGACTTTAGTTTGATGTCTGGAAGTATACTGACACTAATTTATCCTTCTTTGTTAGAATAGTTTTGACTGTTATCTTTATTTTTAATCCCATCCCATATGAATTTCAATAATGTTTGTTCCATTTCTTTAAAGAATACAATTGAAATTTCCATTGGATTTCACTAAATCTATAAGTTAATTTGGGTAATAGGCCATTTTAACGATGTTAAGTCTTCCAATACATGAGCAAGGGATATGCTTCTACTTATTTGTGTTTTCCTCTATTTCCTTTAACGATGCTATATAATTTCCCTTGTGTAGGTCCTTCTCTTTTTTTTATTAGCTTTATTCATAAGCATCTATTTTTTATGTGATTATAAATGGGATGCTTTTCTTAATTCTTTCCTCTTGTAGCTCATTGTTTGCATATAGGAAAGCAACTGATATTTTGTCTATTGATTTTGTCACCTACACCTGGCTTATTTTACTTTTTCTGTGAAGTTTTTAGGGTTCTTTCTATATATTTGCATATAATCTGCAAATAAGTAGTTTTTATTTGTTCCCTACTTGGATTCTTTATATGTCTTTCCCTTGACTAATTGCCCTAGTAAGGCCTTCCAATAGTATGTTGAGTAGTAGTGGTATGTATGGATATCCTTGTCTTGTACCTCACCTTAGTGGAAAGACATTCAGTTTTTCTCCATTAATAATGATGCTACCTGTGAGTTTGTCATATATGGCTTTTACTATATTAGGTTATGTTACATTTTTTTCAAGTTTTTGAGTATTTTTCCTATAAATGGATGTTGGATCTTATCAAATGCATTCTTGACATCTATAGATATGATCATATGGTTTTTAGCTTTTATTTTATTGATATACTGAATGGCATTGATTGATTTTGAGATGGTGAGCCATCCTTGAGTCTCTGGTGTGTATTCCATTTGGTCAGGTTTGAATATTTTAAAAAATATATTTTTCATTGCATACTCGTTTAAGAAACATAGTCTTTTATATATATATATATATATATATATATATATATATATATATATACACACACACACACATATATATATATATATAATAGTTTATTTTTACATCATTTTGTGCATTTTTCCATCTCACTTGCAATCCCTTGGGCTTCCCATCACCAAATCACACATGTGCCATCACCATAGTCCAGTGCATTTCCCTCCCCCCACTGCTTTTGATCCCATTCTCCACTCCACCCACACAAAATGTCTCTGGTATATAGCTATTGAAAAAACTATAGTCTTTTAAATACAAATACACATATATGCATAACACACATATCCACACATATATGCATATAACACACACACATACAGAAAGAAAGAAAAAAAGCTATCCAATAATCTGAGCCATTCAAGATGAAACAAGATATGATGGCAAACAGTGAATATCATATGTCTGGAAATAATTAAGAAACTTATGGATTCAGAGTAGATAAGTGCAAGGGTATTTCAAATATGTTTTAAAGCTTTTTTAAATACATCCAAATGAGTTTGGAAAATTGAAAGTCTTAGAAGTGTAAGTATTCACAATTCATGTATAAATTAGTAGCAGAAACAGAAACCAAATTGCAGTCTCTTGAATTCTACAAAGGAGCTTTTCTAATATTCAATAATCCATGTTACTATTATCACTGCTGCTGTCTCAAAATTTGTAGTTTATGATATTCCAATTTTTGAAGCTGAAGACTGTCAGTCTAGCCAATATGAGTAACAATTCCATTGTTTTATTTCCAGGCACATCCCACCATGGCTTGGTGGCCAAGCCCTTTGAGAAAGTGACATACCACTGGACAGTACCACCACATGCTGGCCCTACTGCTCAGGATCCTGACTGTCTCACCTGGATGTATTTCTCTGCTGTGGATCCCATAAAAGATACAAATTCTGGTCTGGTGGGACCTCTTCTTGTGTGCAGGGCTGGTGCCTTGGGGTCAGATGGAAAACAGGTATCACTCAGACTTCTGGCTTGTAAACACTGCTGGTAGGAGGATGAGGCTTGGTTGCTTAATAGAACTGGGTTCTAGAGGTAAAGGAATAGAAAACAGAATAGCCAGGATATTGAGACAGAAATCAATAGCTGGTCACCTCATGTTATTTTGAATACTATTCATATACGTACAAATATATCTTCCTTAAATTTTATTACTTTCTCTTTAATATCATCTTATTATCTCACTTTTTAATCTCATTGGTTCTGAATCCTGGCTTAAAATTCCTAAATTGACTGCAATATTTTCTGTATACTTTCTTATTCAGGACAATGTTTCTAGCTATGTAACCTTGGGTAAGTTAGTTACCTCAGTTTCCTCATGTGAGGAATGGTTAACAGCAATGAAAGAAACCATCTTGGGTTTCTACGATTAATCAAAATAATCTACATAAATTATTTAAATGATGTGTAGTAAGTACCAACAAATGTTAACTATAACATTATATTAATAATAAAAAAGAATAAAATAATGTGTTAATTATTATAATTACTTTGTTTTATTTGGTAATCCCCCAAAATTACCTATACATACTTTCATCTTCTTCCTGCCACCCAGTAACTTCAGACTCTTCTACTACACTCTCCACTTTTTCTCCTACACTCCCTGCTTTTTCTTGATAATCCTTATCTGATGTCTCTTTCCTCCTCTCCAGTCCTATAACTTTATTCTGACCTCCTTTATTTACCTGCAATTTGATGATGCCTGAGGAAAATCTCTCTAGTAATAACTATAGCTCTAGGCAGAAGATATAGAGTTAACTCTGTGTATGGGAAAGAAGAAATGAATGAATTGTTGGCTCTACAACTGCAAAATACCCAATGGCTGAAATTTTGTCATTCTTCCCTTTTTCTTCCAATGGGCATAAAGAAAGGGGTGGATAAAGAATTCTTTCTCCTTTTCACTGTGTTGGATGAGAACAAGAGCTGGTACAGCAGTATCAATCAAGCAACTGCTATGTTGGATTCCCTGCTTCTCTCAGAGGATGTCGAGGGTTTCCAGGACTCGAATCGGATGCATGGTATGGGGAGTGCTTTTTCTCTGTGCTACAACTGAGATGTTTCAAGTAAAAATTAACCATAAATTTAATAATGGTCCATCCCTGAGAAAACACTGATCTGATTCCAAGTATCTGGGCTCAATCTTCCCAAGATGAGGAATAAAACATAAGATAGCAAATCTTATACTTAGGTCCTTTTGTGCCATGTCTTGTGTTACACAGTGTGGGGGACAGTAGAAAAAATGAAATTAGGAGTAACACAAGGAATGGACTAGAGAGTAAAGACAGTAAACTTGAATGACAGCATTCTAGTTTTATCTCCTCCTTTATCACCCACTACTCGTGCTCCTCAAACCCATACTCTAGTCAGTTGGTGCTCTTTTTCTCTTTGGGAGCATATCTTATACTTTTCTTATTTTGTGCTTTTTTAGTAATATGCACTCCACACTAAATATCCCTTCTTACGTTTTCTTTTAACCTTCAGTTAGTGGACATTAATTACATTATCAAATAATCTACTTAAAAGCTATCCCTTCGATGTAATCATTTCTTATCACTCACACCCAATATACTGACACATTCTTCTGAACTATTGTATTTTTCATTCTTTTTAATATCAAGTTTCATAATCCTCTCAATATTATAGCTATTTTTACATGATTTATGACATCTGCTACAATTATAGTCTTCTTAAAGGTTATTAGTGTATTGTTTATCTCTGTGTCCCTGTATGATAAAATATGCAATAAACATTTATTGAACTAGTGAACTACCAAATTAATTGCAAGGTGAATGAATGAGTGGGAAGCCATGACCCTGATTTGCTTGTTCCCAGCATTTTAAAAATGAGGTAAAACTAATGATACCACCAAAATAATTTCAAAACAATCCAAGGCAGGTTATAATTATGTATGAAATACCTTTTAAGTATCATAGACTTCAAAGGAAGAAAACATTATTAAGAAAAAACAAAGTAAAGCATTACTAGGAAATGTGAATGCTGAAGCTGGATCTTGAAGGCTGGAAAAATTTAGTCTCATGACATTACATATAAAGACATCAGAATCAGGAAGTTAGTAATGTTCCTGGCAACATCCCAATGGATTACCAAATATGGTTACTCACTAAAACTTGTTCCAGTGGATATGAACATTGAAATGGGGTTATTTTCAGGCAGGTTTCTCTGTTCTTTTGAGGGGTATGTTGATGGTAAGATGGGGTCAAGAAAAAGTGCAATGTCTTTTTGCTTCACTTGTTGGTTCCTAAAACTAGTCAGTTCTACCAGCTGGAAAAAAATAAAATAATTTTGCTAATCAAGTTCATTCAAATTTGAATATATGAAGTTCCTGATTAATACCAGGCAACATGCCAGGTGCTTGGGAAACCACACAAATTCAGGAAAAATTATATCCTTTCTGCCAGCTAAATCTAGTGTAGAAGATAAACTTGTAAGTAAAAAATAAGTGGACTCTGTGGTAAGTGGCTTGGCAGAATTGTGTATTTGGGAGAGGTTTCATGAAATCAGGATGAGGGTAATGACTCCTTCACATAGGAGGTGACACTTGATCTAAGGCATGATGTATGAGTATCAGGCTGCTGAAGGAATAATTTGTGTCAAGTAGAGGTAGTAGCATGTGAAAAGTCAATAAATGTTTCCTAACCACCTACCTTGATCTTGATAATACAGAGGTAGATAGAGATCACAGGATGATAGTATGTTTGCAGGGTTGCAAAGAGGCGAACAAACAAGTAGCAGGGATTGGTACCAGGGAGAACATTTCTTCTGTGTTTAGGGAGAGATGAGATCCAGAACCAGGGCAGTGCCAATAAATATGAAAAAAAAGTCAGATTGTAAATTATGGGAAGCCCCAATACTTCAACTTCATAGTAGAATGAGAACAATATAGAGGAAGGAATATTAGAGAGGTTTTAAGAGAACCAGGAAACTGTGGTGCTACAAAAGCCAAGGGAGGAGAGCTTTGCTTTTGTTTTTTAAAGATTTATTTATTTATGCATACAGAAATGGGGTATAGTCCAAAGGTGTGGGAAGTGAGAGGATTCACCAGAGACAGAGTGGGGAGCAGAACAGGTAGATGTACTGAAATACACTGCTGAGAGCAGCAGTGGGTGAGTCAGGAGAGATCTGCCACACCAGGTGGGTCACCTCCCTGACTGGGGATTGAAATCATGCTGCAATGGCTGCAGTAGTTTCATAGTGCTATGCTTTAACTCATTGTGCCACCAGGAGGAAAGTTTTAAGAGAGCAGGGATAGGAAAAGTTTATGTTTCTTTCTGTGTGAAGGATTTCTGTAGTGAAAAGTAGTTAAATTTTGTGGAACCTAATATAGGGTGACAGGAAGTGAAGACAGGGAGTCCAATTTGACCTCATGCCAAAAAGGCAGATCTTTATATACCTAAAATGACATAGGAAGAAGGCAGAAACATTGAGGATAACTGAAACTTGAACTTGTTAAAAATCAAGGTAAGTAACTAATTATATGCTTTGGCTGGTGCCTGAGTCATCTGGTCTCATCACCCCATCCTGTCTTGTCTTTTTGTTTTCCAGCCATTAATGGGTTTCTGTTCTCTAACCTGCCAAGGCTGGACATATGTAAGGGTGACACGGTGGCCTGGCACCTGCTTGGCCTGGGCACAGAGACTGATGTGCATGGTGTCATGTTCCAGGGCAATACTGTGCAGCTTCAGGGCATGAGGAAGAGCTCAGCCATGCTCTTTCCTCATACTTTTGCTATGGCCATTATGCAGCCAGACAATCCTGGTAAGTAAAGCTGGACTTAGGCTCATGGGGCTGTGATGGGAGAAGTGTGGTGCTGGAAAAGAGTAAAGAAGAGATCTATTAAGGAGCTCTATTAGAAAAATTTCAAATACCATTTTCCTTCTTTCACTTTGCTATGTACTCCATGTTCATGTTATTTTTCCCCCCAACTGCAAGCAGAATAAAGTGAAGAACTGAGGAAGCTTGCTTCTGAAACAATGGGGGGAAAGTAGGGATACTATTCAACATGAGGGTGGTTCTTACATAGGTGGGTGGACTTGACTACATAGATCCTTGAGAATAGATACCCATGACCACATAGAGATACTGTTTTTGGAAGCAATATCTATGAGATGTACTTATAAGCTCTTCCAATTCTGATATTCTGTGGGGGTTTCTGCAAAAGTGATGAGAGAGGAGTGGGGCATGTTATAACAGTTTGGGTACCAGAATCGGAACAAAGGAACTTTTAGACAAGATCTTCATTAATTGCCTGTTTAAATTTATCCTCCTCTCTCACCTTCTCTGTGGCTAGATTTTTCCACCACTCATTTCTCCTTTGATGAAGAATTCGGTACATTGCATTTTTCCCCTCAGATTCTAAGTACCTCTGAATTTTCATAATATAGCACTACATCTTTGTAGTACATAGGTATGTTTTTTCCCCAGTCAGTAGGTAACAATAGTGTTCATAAGAAAAATATTAAATAATCTGATATTTTCTATGTCCTTCTGATTTATTACAATTAGGGTAATCTCCTTTAGTTTTATACATGTTGCTGCAAATGGCAAGGTTTAATCTTTTTATTTTCAAAAATGTTACTATTATTGAAGTACAAATGCCAAAGAACCAACATTAACTGTAAATGTAAATGGACTAAACTCATAAATAAAAAGGATACAGAACAGCAGGCTGGATTTAAAAACAAGCTCCAACAAGGCTGTCCATCCTCATCACTGCTCTTCAATATATTACTGAAAGTCCTACCCAGAGTATTAAGACAAGAGAAAGACATCCAAGGAATCCAAATAGGGAGATGGAATTAAAGCTATCACTATTTGCAGACTATATGATAATTTATATAGAGAACGCCCCCAAAAAAACTCCACAGAAAAATTAATCAACCAGTTTAGTAAAGGGGAAGAATACAAAATAAAAACAAAAAATCAGTAGCCTTCCTATATGCAAATAATCTGAAGAACAAAAAAGGCGAGGAAACCATACTTTTGTTGTGTTTTTCTCTTTTTTATTAAATATATTAATATATATTTACATTGTTGTTCATTTTATTTATTTTTTATTTATTTTATTTTATTTTATTTTATTAGTTTATTTTTACATCTTTTTGTGTATTTTTCCATCTTGGTTGTAATCCCTGTGGACTTCCCACCACCAAGTCAACCATGTGCCATCACCATGGTCCCTGGCAACTTCACACCCCACTTTTGATCCCATTCCCCACTCCACCTCTGTAAAATGTATATGGTATATATTTGTTTGTTGGTTTTTCTTTTTTCTTTATTACAATTTATTTTTCTCCCCTATCTCCCCAGTCCTTGATGCTTCCGCTATGAGTAAACCATCGGTATTTTTCTTTTTCTTTCTGGCTTATTTCACTTAGTATGATACCTTCTAGCTCCATTCATGTTGCTGCAAAAAGCATGAGTTTATCTTTTTGATTGCTGAGCAATATTCCATTGTGTATATGTACCACATCTTTTTAATTCAGCCATTTACTTATGGGTATTTGGGATGATTCCATGCCTTTCCACTGTAAATAGAGCAGCAATAAACATGAGTATGCAGGTATCTTCTTGAATCAGTGTTTTTGTGTCTTTTGGGTAAATACCTAGGAGTGGGATTGCTGGGTCATGGAAGCTCCATGTTTAGCAGTTTGAGGAACCTCAAAACAGTTTTCCATAGTGGTTGTACTAGTTTGCATTCCCACCAGCAGAGCAGGAGAGTTCCATTTTCTCAACAATCTCACAAAGATTTGTTGCTAGATGTTTAAGGTGTGCCATTCTCACTGGGGTGAGGTGGTATCTCATTGTGGTTTTAATTTGCATCTCCCTTATTATGAATGATATTGAATATTTTTTCATATTCTTGTTGGCCATCTGCATTTCCTCTTTGCAGAAGTGTCTTTTTAGATCTTCTGCTCATTTTTGAATGGGCTTGTTTATTTTTGGTGAGTTTCATCAGTTCTCCATATATTTATGTGATCAATCATTTATCGCTAGTTTTGTGTGAGAATTTTTTTCCCAATCAGTGGGATGTCTGTTTGTTTTTTATAATGTCTCTTTTGCTCTACAGAAGCTCTTTAAATTGATGTTTTCCCAGCTATTTATCCTTGCCTTCACTTTTGTGGCATTGGGTGCTCTATCTTTAAAGATGTCACTGAAGTGTATGTCGTTTAGTGTTTGGCCCATCTTTGCTTCCAGGTATTTTATGGTTTCCGTTCTTATGTCTAGGTCTTTAATCCACTTTGAGTTCATTTCTGTGTGTGGTGTGAGGCAGTGATCTAGTTTCAATTTTTTGCATGTAGCTTCCCAGTTTTCCCAGCACCATTTGGTGAACAAACTTCCTTTGTTCCATTGTAACTTCTTTGCTCCTTTGTCAAAAATTAGCTGCCCATAAACCTGTAGGTTTATATCTGGGTTTTCTATACGAATCCACTGGTCTGTATGTTTGTTCTTATTCCAGTACCATGCAGTTTTCATTATTATGGCTTTGTAGAATAGCTTGAAGTTTGGGTTTGTAATGCCTCCGTTCTCTTTCTTCTTAGTCATGAGAGTTTTGGCTTTTTGAGGTCTTTTGTTTTTCCATATGAATCTCATCAATATTCTATTTCTTTGAATAATGTCATTGAGACTTTTACTGGATAACATTAATCTGTATATCACTTTTGGCAGGATGGCCATTTTGATGATTTTAATTCTCCCAATTCATGAGTGGAGGATGTCTTTCCATTTCATGGTGTCTTCTTAAATTTCTTTTAACAGTGTTTTGTAATTTTCTTTGTACAGTTCTTTTACCTCTTTTTCTTCTTTTTTTAATATAATAGTTTATTTTTACATCATTTGTATTTTTATTTTTCATTTCAATTGTAATCCCTGTGGGTTTCCCATCACCAAGTCACCCATGTGCCATCACCATAGTCCAACGCACTTCCCTCCCTCCACTATTTTTTATCCCATTCCCCACTCCACCCCAATAAAATGTCTCTGATATGTGGTTGGTTGTTATTATTATTATTTTCGTGCCTTGTCCATTATACACCTGCTATGAGTGAAATCATCCAGTATTTTTCCTTTGCTTTCTGGTTTAACTCACTAAGCATGACCATTTCCAGCTTCATCCAAGTTGCTACAAAAGACATGTGTTTCTTTCTTTCTTTCTTTCTTTCTTTCTTTCTTTCTTTCTTTCTTTCTTTCTTTCTTTCTTTCTTTCTTTC